GACACACAAGATTTCGGACTAGAGTTTCTGAGAGCTCCGAGCTCGTGATTATGAATATCTTGGCTGTGGTTCTGAGTCGCCCCTTTGTTCTTCTGGCTGCTGTTGAGTGGAGTGAGTGCGTCTCATCGAGGTTGTTTCGTCTGCTCGGTTGTGTTTGTGTGTGCAATTGCTGCTTGTGTGGTTTCCCTTAAGGCTGGTGATGAACAATATGTATGCCGATGATGAAAAAGATGTATAGGTCAGAAGCTGATTCTGAGTGATGCTAGCCATCTCCGCTTACTTTCCGAGGCATTTGCTATTGTAGATGCATGATTTTTGAACCGCGAAGGATTGTGAGGAGGAGATCCAGTTGCATTCGGCAGACTTTAGTGCCTTGCGCACAGTGCGCATTCCAGACTTGAGTTCTCACATTATCGGAGCATTCTTACACATCGCAAGCTTCGCTGTGGCTCGCTTTTGCAGATCGATGAGGACAACCATACTTCTGACACCTCCAATCGGAGGCTTCTTAATAGAAGCCGATGCGAAAGAACCAGTTATTTAATCGCTTCGCTCATTCCGCCGGGCCTGGAGCGCTATTTGGGGCCTCTTGGGGCCTCTTGGGGGCCTCTTGGGGGCTTCTTGGGAGCGTCTTGGGGCTCCTTGGCGGCGTCTTGGGCTCCCCTGGGGCCTCTTAGGGGGCTCTTGGGGGCCCCTTGGGGCGGGAGGGGGGGTGGTCGATTGCAGCCATCCCCTCGGAGGCCACGATCCTCGTGAGGGGTGGCGAAAAATAGCCTCTCCCCTGGGGATCGCCCGGGACCCAGCCGGGGATCGGCCGGGGTACTTTTCGTCCGGGGGCCCCCAGGGGCCGCCCCGCGCGCGCGCGAACTAGAACTATTGTTAAGCAGTTACCAGAGATCTTAGCACGCCTCTGGCCCGTTGGGCCGGCGAATTCCTGTCGGAGTTCTGTGTCAATGATTGTGCATTGTGCTCCGCGTATTAGCATGTGTTTGTGTGTGTGTGTGTGTGTGCGTGCGTGCGTGTGTTTGTATGTGTGCCCGCGTGTGCATGTGCCGAACATGCCGATCATGATGATACACAAGATTTCGGACTAGAGTTTCTGAGAGCTCCGAGCTCGAGATTATGAATCTCTTGGCTGTGGTTCTGAGTCGCTCCTTTGTTCTTCTGGCTGCTGTTGAGTGGAGTGAGTGCGTCTCATCGAGGTTGTTTCGTCTGCTCGGTTGTGTGTGTGTGTGTGTGTGTGTGTGTGTGCAATTGCTGCTTGTGTGGTTTCCCGTAATGCCGGTGATGAAAAATGGTGTATAGGTCAGAAGCTGATTCTGAGTGATGCTGGACATCTACGCTTACTTTCCGAGGCATTTGCTATTGTAGATGCATGGTCTTTGAAGCACAAAGGATTGTGAGGATGAGGTCCAGTTGCATTCGGCATACTTTAGTGCCTTACGCACAGTGCGGATTCCAGACTTGATTTCTCACATCATCGGAGCATTCTTACACAACGCAAGCTTCGCTGTGGCTCGCTTTTGCAGATCGGTGAAGACAACCGTACTTCTGACACCTCTAATCGGAGGCTTCTTAATAGAAGCCCATGCGAAAGAACCAGTAATCCCTGTCTGAGTTCTGTGTCAATGACTGTGCATTGTGCTCAGCGTATCAGCATGTGTTTGTGTGTGTGTGTGTGTATGCGTGTGTTTGTATGTGTGCCCGCGTGTGCATGTGCCCAACATGCCGACCATGATGATACACAAGATTTCGGACTAGAGTTTCTGAGAGCTCCGAGCTCGTGATTATGAATCTCTTGGCTGTGGTTCTGAGTCGCTCCTTTGTTCTTCTGGCTGCTGTTGAGTGGAGTGAGTGCGTCTCATCGAAGTTGTTTTGTCTGCTCGGTTGTGTGTGTGTGCAATTGCTGCTTGTATGGTTTCCCGTAATGCCGGTGATGAAAGAAGATGTATGCCGGTGATGAAACAAATGTATAGGTCAGAAGATGATTCTGAGTGATGCTAGACATCTCTGCTTACTTTCCGAGGCAATTGCTATGTAGATGCATGGTCTTTGAAGCACAAAGGAGTGTGATGATGAGATCCAAGTGCATTCGGCAGACTCTCGTGCCTGGCGCACAGTGTGGATTCCAGACTTGAGTTTTCACATCATCGGAGCATTCTTACACAACGCAAGCTTCGCTGTGGCTCGCTTTTGCAGATCGATGAGGACAACCATACGTCTGACACCTCTAATCGGAGGCTTCTTAATAGATGCCCATTCGAAAGAACCATGTCTGAGTTCTGTGTCAATGACTGTGCATTGTGCTCAGCGTATCAGCATGTGTTTGTGTGTGTGCGTGCGTGCGTGCGTGCGTGTGTTTGTATGTGTGCCCGCGCGTGCATGTGCCGAACATGCCGACCATGATGATACACAAGATTTCGGACTAGAGTTTCTGAGAGCTCCGAACTCGTGATTATGAATCTCTTGGCTGTGGTTCTGAATCGCTCCTTTGTTCTTCTGGCTGCTGTTGAGTGGAGTGAGTGCTTCTCATTGAAGTTGTTCTGTCCGCTCGGTTGTGTATACAATTGCTTCTTGTATGGTTTCCCTTCATGCCGGGTTTGAATTCAGATGTATAGGTCAGAAGTTGATTCTGAGTGATGCTAGACATCTCCGCTTATTTTCTGAGGCATGTGCTATTGTAGATGCATGGTCCTTGAAGCGCAAAGGAATGCGAAGATGAGATCCAGTTCCACTCGGGTGACTCTAGTGCCTGGCGCACAGTGCGGATTCCATTCTTGAGTTGGTACACGAGCTGGTAATTCTTACACCAGACAAGCTTCGCTGTGACTCATTTTTGCAGATCGATGGGGACAGCCATACTTCTGACATCTCTCATCGGAGGCTTCTTAGTAGAAGCCGAAGCCGATGCGAAAGACCCGGTTATCCGTGTCTAAGCTCGGTGTCAATGATTGTGTGTTCGTTGTCGCGTTGTTGTCAGCGTATCAGTATGCGTTTGTGTGTGTGCATGTGTTTGTATGTGTCCCCGCGCGTACATTTGCCGAGCATGCCGGCCATTATGATAAACAATACTTCGGACTAGAGTTTCTGAGATCTCCTAGCTCGTGGTTATGGGTCTCTTGGCTGTGGTTCTGAGTCGCTCCTTGCTCTCTTGGCTGCTGTTGAGTGGAGTGAGTGCTTTTCAGACGTATAGGTCAGAGGCTGATCCTGAGTAGTGCTATAGATCTCCGCTTACTTTCTGAGGCATTAGCTATCCAGCTGCCGCCGCGCGAGCCTCGTTTGCCGCGGAACGCTGCCGACGCCGCGCGATGAGCCACCCCCGTGCGATCGAGCGCTTGCCCGTCGCGCGCGGGATGGGAGGGGCGCCGCGCGCCGCCCCCGGCGCGATGCACCGCGTTCCGAGGTTGGGCCTCCCGTGCGACGCGCGAGTCTTCGCCTGCGCGCGCGCGAGCGCTACAGTCGGGGCGCTGAGCAAGGAGCCCTTTTCGTTGGGGAGGGGCTCCGTGCTCCTCACTTGTTTCGCAGCTTGCCGTAGGTTGTCCTCAGGCTTTCGATGGGGAATCGGAGTTTGACTTGTGGAGAACAGGGGCCCCATTCCTTACGTAGGGCTCCTCGGGTCAACGCCCCGACGGCACCCAGACGGGCAGGGAAGCCGCTCGGCGCCGCGCGCCGACTCCGGCGCAGACGACGTCGTCGCCGAGCCCGTCGCCGACGCGCGGCGCTCTCCGGCAGGCGGCGCGGCGCCGCGCGCCGACCCGAGCGCGAGCAGCTCCGACGCCGAGGAGTTGCGCTGTTCTAGGCCTCCTGGATGGGGTCGGAGTAGATGGGGTCGGAGGATCGCGCCGCATCGCCGATGCATCGCCGATGCGGCTCGATGTGGAGCCCGTGTTTCCCCACGCCGACGTCGCCGATGCATCGTCGACGTCGCCGATGCGGCGCGATCCTCCGACCCCATCTACTCGGACCCCATCTAGGAGGCCTCTAGCTATGGTGCCACCGCGCATGGCGCGACGCGCGCTGGACGCATGGCCAGCGGGCCTTCGCTCGATGTTTGAATCGCGGGGCGACGATGCGATGCCCATTATCGCGGAGCGATGTCGCGTGCTCGAAGGAGCAGCTTGGTCTCGGGCGCAGCCGAGGCAGGGTGTGGGGGCTAGGTCACGGGCATCGCGGAGCGCGCACAGGAGCATTCCCCCCCCCCCACAATCTCGTTGCGGGGGTGGTGGTGTGTGGGGGGGATGCGTGCGCGCATTCCACAACAACATTTCTCTTTGTTTCTCTCTCTCTCTCTCTTTTGTTATCTCTCTCTCGCTCTCTCCCTCTCTCTTTTTCTCCTTTCTCTCTTTCTTCTCTTTCTACTTTTGCCGTCTCCGTCATCCATCCTCGCTTCCTCCTCCTCGTCCTCTTCCTCCATCTTCAATCCTTCTTCTCCCTCCTCCGTCTTCGGAAGCCTCTTCGACCATGTGACATATATTGACTCGGACACGCTCGGACAACTCCTCCTCCCTTCTCCTTTCCCCCCTCCCTCCTCCTTCTTGTCCCCTGGGGCATCTCATTTCCCCGTAGTTTGCGAATTCACCCAGGGAGGCCTGACAGCCAATCTCATATCTCAAATTACAGGCGCGAGGGCTTCGAGGTGCTCGTGTGAGTCGGGTAGGTCATCTTCTCTTGATTTTTCTCTTCGACATGTCTACGTCACTGGCCCCATTCCCATTCCTCTTCCTCATCCCTTTTCCTCTTCCTCCACCTCGTCCTCTGTCTCCTCCTCTTTTCCGAACGGTTCCCGCGTCTACGGAGGGTCCCGATGTTTCTGCCTCCCCCCCCCCAGGCCCCCAGAGGCCCAAGAAGGCATCCGGAGGCTGCCACAAGCCCACAACGGGGAAAGACCATGTTCAAAGTTATGTCTACTCCTCCGTCGTCCTCCTCGTTCTCCTCATCCTCATTCGTCCTATGCGTGCTCCTCCTCTCGTCGTCGAACACCCCATCGCCAACTGCGACAGGCGGAGATCCCGCTCATCGTGTGCATCACGGAGGGTATCCCGCAGCAGGACATGGTGAAGGCTGCTCCTGGCAGTTAACAAGATGATGCTGATGCTGCTAATGATGATGATGATGATGATGATGATGATGATGATGATGATGATGATGATGATGATGATGATTATGAGGATGATGATGATGATGATGATGATGATGATGATGACGCTGCTGATTATGATGATGATTATGCTACTGGTGATGATGATGCTGATGCTGCTGCTGATCATGATGACGATAGTGAAGGTGATGCGGATGATGCGGACGATGGTGATGATGATGATGTTGATGGTGATGATGATGATGATGATGATGCTACTGGTAATGATGCTGATGCTGCTGCTGATGATGACAATAGTGAAGGTGATGCGGATGATGCGGATGATGCGGATGATGATGATGCTGATGATGATGATGACATGATGGTGATGATGATGAGGCTACTGGTGATGGTGATGCTGATGCTGCTGCAGATGATGACGATAGTGAAGGTGATGCTGATGATGCGGATGATGCTGATGATGCTGCTGCTGCTGATTATGACGATGGCGATGACGATGCTGCTGCTCATGAGGATGCTGACGCTGAAGCTGATGACGATGCTAATGCTGCTGCTGCTGATGCTGATGATGATGATGCTGATGATGATGATGTCGATGCTGCTGCTGATGATGCTGCTGCTGCTGATGATGATGATGATGAGGATGAGGATGATGCTGACTGATGATGATGCTAACGCTGGTGCTAATGATGCTGATGATGCTGATGCTGCTGATTCTGCTGATGATGCTTATGCTGATGATGCTGCTGCTGCTGATGCTGATACTGATGCTGCTGCTGATGATGATGATGCTGCTGCTGATGATGCTGCTGCTGATGATGATGATACTGCTGATGCGGATGCTGCTGCTGATGATGATACTGTTGCTGCTGATGCTGATTATGATGATGATGCTGCTGCTGTTGTTGCTGCTGCTGATGATGCTGTTGATGCTGATGATGATGCTGATGCTGATGCTGATGTTGATGATGATGATGATGATGATGCTGATGATGATGATGATGATGATGATGGTGGTGATGATGATGATGCTGACTGATGATGATGCTAATGCTGGTGCTAATGATGCTGATGATGTTGATGCTGCTGATGCTGTATATGATGCTTATGCTGATGATGCTGATGCTGCTGATGCTGATACGGATGCTGCTGCTGCTGATGATGATGATGCTTCTGATGCTGATACTGATGCTGCTGCTGATGATGATGATGATGCTGATGATGCTGATGATGGTGTTGATGATGCTGATGATGATGATGATGATGATGATGATGATGATGACGATGATGATGGTGATGCTGATGATGCTGATGAGGATGATGCTGATGATGATGATGATGGTGGTGATGATGATGATGATGATGATGATGATGATGATGATGATGATGATGATGATGCTGATGATGACGATGCTGATGATGGTGGTGGTGGTGGTGGTGGTGGTGGTGATGGTTAGGAGGAGGAGGAGCATGAGGAGGAGGAGGAGGATGAGGAGGAGGAGGAGGAGGAGGAGGAGGAGGAGGATATTCGATGATAGGGGTGTCCGACCTTCTTGGGCTTCTGGGGAGTTTCTCTTCGCTGCGGCCAGATCAAGCCTTCTAGGTAGTGACCTGCGAGGAGGGCGAGACTGTGGAAGGGGAGGGGGGGCCTCCCTTCCTGGGACCCCCCCATTCCCCCAACCAGCAGGGGGGTGGCACTCAAAAAGGTCGAGCAGCATCAGCAGCGTGAGAAGGTGGATGAGGAGATGGGGGGGATGGAGGTGGAGCGGGAGAAAGGAGGGAGGGGGGGGGGCGGGAGTGCTGTGGTGGATGGAAGAGGCGGACGAGGAGGAGGAGGACGAGGAGGAGGAGAGGAGGAGGGGAGGAGGCGGAGGAGGAGGAGGAGGCAGGAGACGGATGAGGAGGAGAAGGATGAGAAGGAGGAGGATGAGGAGGATGAGGCGAGGAGGAGGAAGAGGCGGAGAGGAGGAGGAGGATAGGAGGAGGAGGAGGAGGAGGAGGAGGAGGAGGAGAGGAGGAGGAGGAGGAGGAGGAGGAGAGGAGGAGGAGGAGGGAGGAGGAGGAGGAGGAGGAGGAGGAGGAGGAAAGAGGAGGAGCAGGAGGCAGAGGAGGAGGGGGAGGAGGAGGAGGAGGAGGAGGAGGAGGAGGAGGAGGAGGAGGAGAGGAGGTAGTGGAGGAAGACGAGCAGGAGCAGAGGAGGAGGAGGAGGTGGAGGAGGAGGAGCAGGAGGAGGAGGAGCAGGAGGAGGAGCAGGAGGATGAGGAGGAGGAGGAGGAGGAGGAGGAGGAGGAGGAGGAGGAGGAGGAGGAGGAGGAGGGGGGGGAGGAGGAGGAAGAGCAGGAGGCCTCTTGAGGCCATCTTGGGGCTTCCTGGGAGCTTCCAGAGCAGCTCGGCGGTGGTGAGATGGATTTCCAGAACAGCTCGGCGGTGGCGAGGCTGATGCCGTCGCAGGAGGAGCGCCAGCGATAGCTCCGTCCAGCCCGCCGCGGCTGGGCTGGCGCCATGCGCCGACGCCCCCGTCGCGCGTTTTGCTGGATTCGGTTCGAAGAGCCCCCTCGTCGCACTTTGATGGGCGCAGCTCGGAAGCTCTGTCGCGCGTTTGGCTGGTTTCGGAACGCAGCCCCCTCGTCGAACGTTTGATGGGCGCAGCTCGGAGTCTCTGTCGCGCGTTTTGCTGGATTCGGTTCGGACAGCTCCTCGTCGCACGTTTGCTGGGCGCAGCTCGGAATCTCTGTCGCGCGTTTTGCTGGATTCGGTTCAGAAAGCCCCTCGTCGCACGTTTGATGGGCGCAGCTCGGACATGCCGCAGACGCTTGCGGGGCCTCAGCGAGGCCGCGGATTCACAAAAGAGCGCGTCGCTCTGGCCTGCGTGTGACACCGCCATGCCAGGGGCGGAAAACAGGCTGACAGTTTCGTGCACGTTTCGTCGATTCCACGGTAAATATCGTGACTCTGGCCTGCATGTGACACCGCCACGCCAGGGGCGGAGGAGGACAGGCCGGCAGTTTCGAGCACGTTTCGTCGATTCCGTTCTAAAGATATTCACGTTCCCTATGACTTCGCCGTGCCGCCGTCGCCCGTGAAACGGCAGCATCATATTGCCGATGATGGTGGCGACGGTGACGATGATGTGGATGATTATGACGATGACGTTGACGACGACGACGAACGCGACGCGATGATGCAGAGTACGGCTGTAATGGCCCCACCGACGCCGATGTGGGTCTGCGACAGTGACACTCTTGTTTCTTTGCTCAAGCCACAACGGACCGTAGATGGACGAAACAATGGAACCCTTGACTCTGCCCCCTCCCCTCCCCCACATTCAAAATTGTTCCCATACGTTCAAGAGCGTAGGATTGAAAGGACAAATAAGTGGACCCCCCGGGCCTCCACCACGCCTGAGCCCAACTGTGAGTCGGGGGGAAGGGGGGTTACGAACGTGGTATCGACGACAAGGGGGTTTCACTTTTTGTCCTCTTACCGGAAAAGGAGGAGAAGGAGGAGGAGGATGAGCAGGAGGAGAAGCAGGAGGAGCAGGAGGAGGAGGCGGAGGATGAGCAGGAGGAGGAGGAGCAGGAGGAGCAGGAGAAGGAGGAGTGTGTGGCGGAGGATGAGCAGGAGGCAAAAGGGGAGGAGCAGGAGGAGGAGGAGGAGGAGGAGGAGGAGGAGGAGGAGGAGGAGGAGGAGGAGGAGGAGGAGGAGGAGGAGGAGGAGGAGGAGGGAGCAGGAGGAGGAGGAGGGAGGAGGAGGAGGAGGAGGAGGAGGAGGAGGAGGAGGAGGAGGAGGAGGAGGAGGAGGAGGAGGAGGAGGAGGAGGAGAGGGGCAGGGGAGGAGGAGGAGGAGGAGGAGGAGGGAGGAGGAGGTAGAGGAGGAGCAGGAGGCGGAGGAGGATGAGGAGGAGGATGGAGGAGGTGGAGGAGGAGGAGGAGGAGGTGGCGGAGGAGGAGCAGGACGAGGAGGAGGATGAGGAGGAGGAGGAGGAGGCGGAGGAGGCGGAGGAGGAGCAGCGAGGAGGAGGAGAAGGAAGAGGAGGAGGAGGAAGAGGAGATGAGGAGGGCGAATAGGAGGAGGAGGGAGAGCAGGAGGAGGAGGAGGAGGAGGAAGGAGGAGGCGAGCATGAGCAGAGAGGAGAAGGAGAGGGAGGAGGAGGAGGAGGAGGAGGAGGAGGAGGAGGAGGAGGAGGAGGAGTTGGAGGAGGAGGAGGAGGAGGAGGAGGAGGAGGATGAATAATGCTAAAACTCATATGAATAACAATACTAACAATAAGACGAATACTAATCTTAAGTGTACTAAGAAGAAGAGTGCTACGACTACTATGCAGAAACATATGTCGAATCATAGTAGTAAGAATACCAATCGTAATACTAAGAATCACATGCATCAGCATACTAATATATATATATATATATACACAGAATATTACTATCACTAAGAAGACATAGTACTAATAAGCATGGAGGAGGCGGAGAAGGAGGAGGCAGTGGAGGAGGATATGCATCAGGAGGAGGAGGAGGAGGAGGGGGAGGAGGAGGAGGAGGAGGAGGAGGAGGAGGAGGAGGAGGTAGAGGAGGAGGAGGAGGCGGAGGAGGAGGAGGAGGCGGCGGAGGAGCAGCAGGTGGAGGAGGAGGAGGAGGTGGGGAGGAGGAGGAGGAGGAGGAGGCGGAGGAGCAGCAGTGAGGAGGAGGAGGTGGAGGAGAGGAGGAGGAGGACAAGGACACAGTGGAGGAGGATGATGATGATGAGGAGGAGGAGGAGGAGGAAGAGGAGGATGAGGAGGAGGAGGAGGAGGAGGAGGAGCAGGAGGAGGAGGAGCAGGTAGAGCAGGAGGAACAGGAGGAGCAGGAGCAGGAGGAGGAGGAGGACGACGAGGAGGAAGAGGAGGAGGAGGAGGAGGAGGAGGACGAAGAGCAGGAGGAGGAGGAGAAGGAGGAGCAGGAGGAGGAGAAGGAGCAGGAGCAGGAGGAGTAGGAGGAGGAGGAGGAGAAGGAGGAGGAGGAGGAGGAGGAGGACCAGGAGGAGGAACCAGCCCCAAGGTCAAGCACGCGCTGCAGCGCCAGAGCAAGAGCCGCCTGATCGGGCCGAACTGCCCCGGCATCATCAAGCCCGGGGATCGCCGCTTCCCCCGGCCGCGCGTACGGCCGGCACGAGGGTCCAGAGCAGTCCTGGCCCTGGATGGAGTACGACCGTGTTCGTCGTGTCTGTTTTTTCACCTGGGGGCTTAGCTGCCCTGGTACCCCGTTCCGAAACGCAACACGTACCGTGTCCAAAACGTCCGCGGTAACATGCTTCGTGTTGGGTCCGCGTGTTGGCCCACGTCTTGGCGAACTCACCGCGCCATACTTGCGTTTTCAGTCTACGTGATGAGCTCGGTGTCAATACGCTCCGTGGCGCGTGCTGCGTATCGGGGCAGCTCAGCCTGGGAGTGCTCTTCGTTCGTTCAGGGCATCCCCAACGGGCCCTTGGGGCCCTCGGCGAAGGGGCTCTTGTGCTTCCTGGCCCATGATCTTGTGGCCGTGCTTCGACTGCAGGCGTGACTTTGCGCCAGAGTGATTGCTGGCGCGGGCTCACAGGGGGCCCTCCTGGCACCGGCCGCGCGCTTGCATTTGCCCCCCGCCCGCCCCCCCCTGTAAGGGTGGTATCTTTGTGTAGGTGGCTTGTGTGTGTAAGGGTGAGATTTATGACTATCGTCATCGTCATCATCATCATCGCCACCATCATCATCATCATCATCATCATCATCATCATCATCATCATCATCACCACCGTCATCAGCATCAACATCATCATCATCATCATCATCATCATCATCATCATCATCATCATCATCATCATCTTCATCTTCATCTTCATCTTCATACTCACCTTCATCTTCATCTTCATCATCTTCATCATCATCATCATCATCATCATCATCATCATCATCATCTCGTCTTCATCATCATCTTCATCTTCATTCCTCCTCATTTCCCCTCTTCCTCCCCCACCGCGCGGACCCTTCAAGCCGCGCGCCACGGGTCACTCTCGCCTGGGGTCACTCTGGCGTGCCGCCGATCCTCGACCGCCTCCTCGTCGCGAGGAGGGCTCAGACCCCCTGGCGTCGTAGAACAAACTCGCGTCGCAGACCGAGCAAACACGAGGACGAATTGTCGACGACCCATACCTCGAGGATCGAAGCTTCTTTTTGTGTTTTTGGAGCATGTTTGGCCTCTAGGAAGCCTCTCGTCGCCACGGCAGGATACGCCTCGAAATTTTGGTCAACACGCAACCCTGGATAGGTGCGGCGCTGGAAATCTGACCCCCGAGACCAGACCCCCTCGCGTCGTGAACAAAACCACCACGGATTTTTGTCGTCCGCGCCCATTCCGTGTCACTTGCGCGTCGCTTTCATGCCCCCGCGGCTGTCGTGTTTTGATGGCGCTGGGCCCATGGCGGCGCGCGCCGCGCGGGGGTCAGAAGCTGCGCCAAGCGGGGAACGGAAGTGAGTGGAACGGAAGTAGAACGATAAAGCATGTTCCTTGATTTTTCGGAGCATAGCGGGCATTATGGCCCCCGGCGCACCCCCCCTTATACATGAAGGGATCGGCTCGGTTCGGTTCGGTCCGGTTCTGCAGCCGGGTCGGTTTTGCTTGGCCGGTTCGGTTTGGCATCGGTCCGGTTTCGGCCGGTTCGGCTTGGGCCTGCCGCCGGTTCGGTTCGGTTCCGGTTTTCGCGCGGTTGGGTCCGACCGGTTCGGTTCGGTTCGAGTGGCCGCTCCGGTTCGGTTCGGCCCGACTGGTCAGGTGGACGTGGGGGCCCCCGCCTGCGTAGACGACTACCCAGTTTTGAAAAAAAGGGCGGGAAGAGGAGGAGGAGGAGGAGGAGGAGGAGGAGGAGGAGGAGGAGGAGGAGGAGGAGGAGGAGAGGATGAGGAGGGAGGAGGAGGAGGAGGAGGAGGGGAGGAGGAGGAGGAGGAGGGGAGGAG